GGAATTGTAATTTTTGATTCTGCTAATTTATTCAGTTTCAATCTGTTAGGTGTTGGTATCAACAGTTGATGTGATTCAATGATACCTATAAAAAGACTGTTTAGTTTGAACATCTCCTTTCTTTTCCCTGAAGTTGCATATCTTGTTAATGCTGCCTTGACTTCTCCTTGGTGATGAGAAAGGAGTTTCATTTGCGGGAAGAAGCTGAGGTGGGCATGGTGCCCTCTGATGAATGGGAAACCATGGGAAGGGTAGCAACCTGGAACACGTTCAGTTCCACCTCTTTTTTTTTTTTTTTGGCACTCTTTCACTGTGTAGTAATGGTGTTAGATTGGGGATTAGCATAATACAAGGTTGACAATTGTGCAAGACAGAAATGTAAACTAAAAGCAATGAGGTTATCAGATTGCATCCTCTTCATTCCATCACAGGCAAACTTCAGGATCAGAGAAATGGTTGAAAGTGTGAACCACTGTTACACTGAAAAGAAATTAAAAAAAAAAGGAAGTGTGAACCAATTTGTAATTTGGAGATAGAAGAATTCATTTTCTAACAGGACAACTAAATTGTATATTAAAGAAAAACTTTTATTAAAGCAGTTCCACCAGAGTAACTCTGATTAAGAAGTACAGCAATTTTCATCATGTAAATTGTTTTTAAATTAAATTTAAATAACACAGTAATACTTTATTCATGTTATTCACCATTTAAAAGAAATAAATAACTTGGTTAACTTCCTGCATTTTCATAAGGTGAAATTCCATCACAATCCTTGAGTAATTGAAGCTGTGGTGATTTTTAAAGCCATACAATTACAGGGATTCAGTGCAATTATTTTTCTAATAAAATTAGTTTTCACTTACATGTGTCTGTCATTTCCTGTCAATGAATATATTTTAAAAACTTTTTTTCTGATGAATCTTTTTTTACGGATATTATTCTACCTATAGAGAGATATTTATTGATACTGTCAGATAAATGTAAAGCCCATAAAAGAAGGCATGATTATAAATTTTAGTATGTTGATTTTTGTTTTTCTGCCAGTATCAATAAACAATTGTGAATGTTTTTCGGTAACCTATTGAAATGGTACATTGAATGGAAGTCTGGAATTTAACAAATAATTTAATGGAAATGTTAATGTAAGCATATTCTATTTAGATAGTAATGCCATAATAGAGATAAGACTAACTGGACTAGTTTGTCTTAACATTCTGAGAATTATTATCTTTTTCTGATTTCACAGAATAAAAATTGAAGGAATTCAGGCCAGTGTGATTGTGAGGCTTTGCCCTCTATTCACCCTTAACTGTAGTTTTAAGATTCGAGAAAAAAATGTAAGAGCATCAGAAAAATTTAAAGTTCAATTTATTTTAACTGATCCCTGTCCAGACATTTATTCAGTGAGCTCATACGTGTCCTGGGCATTTTGTTAAGACTTGGAGATGCAAAGATTAATTGACCTGGTTCCAACCCTCAAAGAGGTCACAGTTCTAGAATTAGTTTTTGTATTACACAGGGTAGAAAAGTTATATAATGTCCAGGGACTGGGTGTGTGCTCAGGAGTTTGTAGTGTGGTGGGTAGAAAGAGGGGTTAATAGGAATAAGCTGTGGCAATTTCTGTCTCAGCCAAGTCAGTTTACTGACTCAGATCCACAGTCAATAAAACTTTGGAAAAAGTGATTTCTTTCTCATGGAGTCTCCCACTTCCTTTAATTGTAAGGAGTTAACTTGCCTCATCTCTCAGGAGTGAGAGATGGACAATAAGTAGAGTGGAATTTGGAAGCCAAAAGAGAGAGAGAAATGTATTTAAGACCAAAACTGTGCTTTTTAACAATGGACCCCTGTGTAGAGTTATTATAGGTCTAAATATTGTTGTACTGTATATCCAAAGTGATGGATCACTTTTAGGGTAATTACAAAATCTATGTTTTAAATATTTAAACATGAATACAATCTATGAATTAAACATGTGCATGGTAGATTTTTTTTCATTGCTCTGCCATTTCAAAGATACAATCCATTGGAGAAGGCAATGTGGCTGACATACAATGAAATCAGGTTGAAATCAGGTTCTGTTATCTAGCAGGCTTTCTTGAAAATTTATAAGGCTGAAGAGGAGAAAAAGTAAACTCAGTTTTTTAGGAGTGAATGTGGACTGTATTTACACAATTACAAAGTAATTGCCCTCAAAGTGAAAGATGTATTTAACTATGGCAAAAATTATAGTTAACAATGCATAGGTTCATTGAAACAAACAGAAACACATGGATCTGTAGATTAGATTCAGCTCTTGAACTGAAGCCCATTGGGCAGCTGAAGGGGAGTGTGTGAGGAAGACCTGGCACTGTTGAGTGTGTTAGGAAGTGGACAAGGAAAGAAGACTTGACATCAGCAGACCAGAGAAACCAGAATTATGGTAAAATACATTGTAAAGGTCTGAAAAAGAAATGATTACCAGTGAATCATCTTTAGAGACCAAGAAAATGTAGAATGTTTATTTTAACAATATTAGGTGGCTTAAAAATATTGAAAAAGTCAGACCTGTTTCAGATATCAGCAATATTGAGGGTAAGATTTTAGTGAGGTACTACATAGTCTAGTAAAAGATCGCTTATTAACAAGTGAAGTATATTAACTACATTCAAGGTTGATACTGAATTAAGTTTTATTATTATTACTATTATTATTATTATGATTACAAACATCACAAAAAAACAAAGATTTGCCAAATTACAAATATGGTAGAAAGACAAAAAGTAATGCCTAATTTGGACAGATTTAGAGTGAATACCCTGGATGGGAATATAATGCTTGTAGATTTTGAGTGGTAAAGAAGTAAGTGTAGGTGATATCTTTATCTGACCTCTGCCAAATCCATTTCTGAATAACAGCAACAGCAAAAACAGCCACACCAGTAAAAAATAGGGATGTCTAATTAAAATATGCTGAAGGGCAACATTAAAGTGCAAGAAAAAAAATAACGTCCAAATAGTAAATCCATAAGATTAGAGTATTTGAGAATGTTTGTACAAAAGGCATAACATCTAAAACAGTGCTTGGAACAGAGGGTTGGTCTACAATACAAAGTATGTGAAATCAGGAAGGCTTTTGATTAGCATTTATAAGAACAGTTTATAGAAGACTAAATGAAGAGATTAGCTGGATCTGGACCATTGCTATTTTTCTAGGGTCAGAGAATAAATTTAATGAGCAGGAGTGAACCATTCCCCAAAACAGGCCTTATCTATGAAGGGTTCTCAATTATTTTTACCTCACTTGTGCTAGAGTCACAGCAATGAGTCATAAAATGCCAAACCTTTTACAAGCACACTATTTTAATTACCACAATCTAAATTTCCCACTGAGAACAGATCCCTGTCCTTAGAAAGTTAACATTCTAATATGGCCACTTTAAGGAAGAAAACACTGGCCATATTTTGCAGTATATGTGCAGTAGTAAAGAAAGAGTTTGCAGACCAGTTCTTTGTGCAGAGGTGTACACAACTAAAGAGTAGAGCTACTAGAGAAAATTGGTACTCTTCTTTGAGGTAAAGTGCTTATATGTTTGAGTTAAATTACTTCTTCCAGGAAGATCATTTTGCTCTCTGAAGAAGTAATTTGGTTCAAAATGGTACAAATTCAGTATCATTAAGCCTTTCAGGAGCTGCATTTTCTATTATAAGCAAATCCTGGATAATGTAATTTGCCTCAATTAGATATCACTTTGAATCTGGGAGGGAGTGTATTTTACTTACCTTATGCATAGTCATCAATTTTCTTTTGATTGCCCAGATGTGTATGGAAATTTGTTATGTATTATATACAAGCTTAATAAATTAAGACCCAATCCAATGTTCAAAGTAGCATATGTTTAGCAGTAACTTTGTACATGTCTCAGTTACTATTAAACATGGATCAAGTCCTCAAGACTTACATCCTATACAAAATATGCATGGTCCTTCAGTAAAAAGAGTTCAAAAAACTTTTATTTTTGACTGGAAGGCACCTGAGGTAGACAATAGGACAGAGCTGGCCTAACTTTCATGGATGTGATAAGAACTGAATTTTTCACAACAATGAAAGTGTTTTAAATATTCAACCTTATGAAACAACGAATTACATTTATTAAGTAAAAGGCACAATGGGAAAAAATAAAGCCAAGAAAAATTTAGGGATAATACCTAAGTGCCAAATAAGCAGCTCTTCAAATGACTAAAGAGTAGGTGAAGTTTAGTGGCAGAAAATCTATTACCACTGTGACTTAAAATGGGAATACAGGAAATGTGCTGGAGGAAAATGAAAGTCATTAGTGTGCTGCAATTTAAACACTAGGCAGTGACCAGCTGGCCACCCTCTTGGCTCCTTGGTTCATAACTTTTCAATAAATCTCACATTAATCCACACTTATTGTGCTTTGCTTACAGGATGATGGCAATATTTGTGTTGTTCTTTTCACAGCACTTCTTACTTATAACTTCAACTGCAAATGATGGAACACTATTTTGTTTGCCTGTGATCCAAGTCATTTGTCAAGCATATCATAGACTTCATAGATATTACAAATCTGGTGCTATAAGAATTGAGATGCTAGTCAGAGTAAATTGTTTCCAAAAAAGAGTATTAGTTTTATTATTTAGCAATGCATTATACCTAAGACATATCCTACCCTAAGAAAGAGAATTGGTTTCAAAGGATAAACAATAACAACCAAACACCTCACTACTACCACAAAACCATATCTAGCTATATTTTCACTTGGCCTTATTTATATCATACAGTATCTTGTACACATTTAGGAAACTAGACAAAGAAAAGTCTCTTTGGTGTCGACTTAAAAATTTGTTTCACTCTATGCGGTAATATACATTGGCAACAATTATTTTGGTAATTTAATGACACATATTTGTTGCTGCTGTGTTACTCTTTGTACAGTAACTAACAGGAGCTGAGCAGCTGCTAGAGATGACACTCCCATCTGAGGACCAGTAAGCAGCTGAATGGAGTGGTCCAGGGACCACTTATACCTGAGATGGACTACAGATCATCATATTCCAGAATTGGAAATCCAAGTCAAATGTAATAAGACAGTCTCACTGAAAAACCAAGAGTATCACTTGTACTTCAGGGGATCTTATCAACAGCAAGCACCTGTGATGGATTTCCAGGTGGAACTGAGGCAGACATTCTTAGCTGAGTGATCAAGAGGTGGGTAAAACAGTATTGGAACATTAAAATAGCTGATTCCAAGGGATAAGCCAGATGACAATGTATTGATTTGAATCAGCTGACAGTGTAATAAAATTATTATCCATGAGGAAAAAAGGTAACTAAGAATATTTAACAGTTCTCTTTAAGCATTTTTAGAGATATATTTGCTGACCATAGATATTTTCATCAACTGAAAACAAGGAATTATCTTTATCAAAATACAAAATACAAAATACAAATGTTTCACAACTTATGATGATTCCACTTAGGATTTTTTAACATTATGATGGTGTGAAAGCAATACTCATTTAGTAGAAACTCTACTTCAAATTTTGAGTGCTGATCTTTTCCCAGGCTGGTGATACATAGTATGATATTCTCTGATGAGTCTGGCCAGTGGCAACAAACTGCAGTTCCTTGTCAGCCAAGTGAACACCGGGGAAAACAACTGATACACATCCAACCATTCTGTCTTTCTTTTCTTTTCTTTTTTTTCTTTTTTAATATTTTATTTATTTATTTGACAGAGAGAGAGAGAGAGAGAGAGATCACAAGCAGAGAGGCAGGCAGAGAGAGAAGGGGAAGCAGGCTTCCTGCTGAACAGAGAGCATGATGCAGAGCTTGATCCCAGGACCATGAGATCATGACCTGATCCAAAGGCAGAGGCTTAACCCACTGAGCCACCCAGGCACCCCCATTCTGTTTTTCACATTCAACACAGTATTCAATAAGTTATATGAGATATTCAACACTTTATTGTAAAATAGGCTTTGTGTTAAATAATGTCATCCAATGGTAGACTACTCTAAGTGTTCTGAGCATGTTTAAAGTGAGGAAGATTGATAAATCAACCTAATTTCAAAACTCCCTGTATGGAAAAGTCCAAGGGCTATGACCAAGAGATCTTGGTATAGAAAGGTATTTTTTTAATTTAGTTTTGTATCTGAAAAAACTCAGGTTAAGAATACAATTGATTCTTCTTATTTGTGGTAGTTATGTTTTGTAATGTATAGAACCATTGCTTCTAGGGGAAATGCAAGGTTAGGTTCCTGTGAACCTCTGGTCACTACATTTTCATAAATCAATCAATATATAACCATGTCTTATGTGTGTTTTTGTTTAAATATATCTTATTCAATGTATTTTGTTGATTAACTAATATTGGACTCATAGTCAACAGAACTATAACTCATGCCTTAATGATGCTTATCTAACACATGTATTTTCTTAGTAAGTCACATCACAGCCTTTCAGAGCTTAGGAACACTTAATACCACTTTAGTACTATGCTTGGGGGGCATTTAAAACAGAAAAATCGTCAACAAAAAGCACGAAGAAGTGTGGAAAATGTAGCACCTAACAGATAACAAAAAGAACAGTTGTTTACAATATAAGAGCTAAAAAAAGAAAGCCAAGTGTTGCCTTGTTTGACTTCAGCTGGGAACCTGAACATTGGTGACTCAAATATTCCACCACTGAACATGGCCACAAATGACAGAAAATGCATAGTGAGTGCAGATTTTAATAGGGTAGAAAATTCACAAATATAAAATCTATAAACAATGAAGATCAATTGTACATATTATGCAGTGAATAATCTTTACATTCCATAGTTTTAAAATGATTAAATAGTTATTCTGTACTAGCAAAGAGTAAATTTTTTAGAAATTCACAGGATTTTGCTTAAGTTTCGAATTTTACCCTTGGCCATTTATTTTGGAAAATCTGAAATAAGTGATTTTTTTTCCCAATTTAGTCAAACACTGTAGTTATTTTGGTAGCCCTATTCAGAAGCTTGATAGCTCAGAGATTATAAATCACAAAGATACTTGTAAAGGCAATAACAGGAAGAGAAATCAAGAAAGAAAATGTATATTTTCAGTGTTATAGTCTATAGCAGATTTAAAGAGCTGAGCCATGCTTAATTAGCATTTGATCATGATACTTGACAATTTCACTTTTACCTTATACTTTATAACTGAAAATAGTCTGAGGAACAGGATGAATTGAAACATTTATTTAAAGATAATAATATCACTAAGTTAACTGAATGACATACTATGATGGCATTATTTGGACCATGCTTTGTATAAAACTCATTCAGAAGTACATAGGATTAGCCAATATTTAAGACATAAACATCTGATTCCTTATAAAATAAAAATAGTCTAACAGACATTTCATAAAATGTGTTCTGTTGAAATATACCATTCTGTATTGCTAAGAATTTGAATTTGAATTTGAATTGAAAGGGAGTGAGAAGAAAATAGGGAATGACTTATGCATGATGCTTTTAAGATCATGACAGAAATAGCTCAAGCAATATGTGGTCACTCAAGGAATTTCAAAGGGGCTGGTGTCTGAGTTTGGGAAAAGGGGAAAGGAAATATAAAGCTAAGATAACATTTCAATCCAAATTTTTTTAAATAAAAATAATAAATATGTAAAATTGGCTGTTAAAGAGGAGAAGCAAAAATTGAATGTTTTAAAACAAAAGAATAAAATAGATTTAGACCAGCACATTGCAGGAAACTAAAGTCTCATTAAACTAAAGTCTCCTCTTGTCCACTATGCTATTTTTTATGCTCCACCAATAAGTGAGAGGAGAAGGGAGTTGAGGGAAATTGGAAGGGGAGGTGAACCATGAGAGACTATGGACTCTGAAAAACAATCTGAGGGTTTTGAAGGGGTGGGGATGGGAGGTTGGGGGAACCAGGTGGTGGGCATTAGAGAGGGCATGGATTGCATGGAGCACTGGGTTAGGTGCAAAAACAATGAATACTGTTACACTGAAAAGAAATTAAAAAAAAAATTATATGCCCTAGCTCCATCTATGTAATTGTAAATGGCAAGATTGCATTCTTTTTTATGGCTGAATAATATTCTATTGTATTTATACACCACTTCTACATCTATTCCTTTGTCAGTGGATACATGGACTGCTTCCATATCTTGGCTATTGTAAATAAAGCTGCAATTAAAAAAAAATAGGCAGTTACTAGGAAGATAGATTAAAGTGTGCATTATTACCTTCTAAAATGGCAAGTTCAAACATCAGTTGCAAAGAGTTGAGAGTGATTTGATCTCTCTTTATCTTGGCTTTATCATGTAAAACTATGTAAACTCCTTCCTGTTTTTTGTTTTTGTTTTCAGCCTGTGACTTCATACAGTAGGTTTATCTTCTGGGCCACACTTATGAAAAAGGAAAGGGACTGAAGAAAAAGTTCAAACTTTCAAAAGGATGTCAATTTTGTCTATAAACTAAGTCATAACAGAGATTACAGAAATTAAAAACTTGTCTGAATTAATTTTATTTCTTTTTTTTGAATTTTTTGAATTTATTTTAATATACTTAAAAAGTGCATTTTCTATAACTGAAATGATTTCCATGAAAAGGAAAAATGGTTTTAGCACATTACATTGTGCCATAATATATTTCTCCTGGGATTTTTTATATCAGTCATTAATATGTGAAAGAACAAGCCCAGAAATACAGTTTTGTCTGATAAGGTATGTCAAAATGCACAGGCCCAGTTAGTGAAGGAGAATAGTCATTGTTTGAGAGAAGCTAGGGAGAAAAAGTGAAGCATTTTTTAAAAGTTACCTATCTTAAAAATACTCTTGAGTTTTATGTTGATTAAAAAGCTTTACCTCTGATAATGTGGAAAGATTATCATCCTTAATGGGGAAAAGCTAACAGCCTTCCCTTTGAGATCAGGAGCATGACAAGGACGTCCACCCTTGCCACTCTTGTTCAACATAGTACTAGAAGTCCTAGCAACAGCAATCAGACAACAAAAAGAAATAAAAGGTATTCAAATTGGCAAAGAAGTCAAACTCTCTCTCTTTGCAGATGACATGATACTTTATATGGAAAACCCAAAAGACTCCACCCCCAAACTACTCGAACTCATACAGCAATTCAGTAATGTGGCAGGATACAAAATTAATGTACAGAAACCAATTGCTTTCTTATACATTAACATTGAAAATATAGAGAGGGAAATAAGAGAACTGATTCCATTTAATACAGCAACAAGAACCAGAATAGACCTGGGAATAAACCTAACCAAAGAACTACAGGACACTCATGAAAGAAATTGAAGAGGACACAAAAAGATGGAAGAGCATTCCATGTTCATGGATTGGAAGAACAAACATTGTTAAAATGTCTATACTGCCTAGAACCACCTATACTTTTAATGCCATCATGATCAAAATTCCACCAGCATTTTTCAAAGAGCTGGAACAAACAATCCTAAAATTTGTATGGAACCAGAAGAGACCCCACATTGCTAAGGAAATGTTGAAAAATAAAAATAAAACTGGGGGCATCACGTTGCCTGATTTCAAGCTTTACTACAAAGCTGTGATCACCAAGACAGCATGGTACTGGCACAAAAACAGACACATTGACCAGTGAACAGAGTAGAGAGCCCAAATATGGACCCACAATTCTATGGTCAAATAATCTTCGACAAAGCAGGAAAAAATATACAGCGGAAAAAAGACAGTCTCTTCAATAAATGGTGCTGGGAATATTGGACAGCTATGTGTAGAAGAATGAAACTCGACCATTTTCTTACACTATACACAAAGATAAACTTGAAATGGATAAAAGACCTCAAAGTGAGACAGGTATCTATCAAAATCCTAGAGGAGAACATAGGCAGTAATCTCTTTGACATTGGCCACAGCAACTTCTTTCAAAATATGTCCTCAAACGCAAAGGAAACAAAAGCAAAAATGAACTTTTGGGACTTCATCAAGATCAAAAGCTTCTGCACAGCAAAGATTCTTATTCTCTCATTGGTCTTTCTATAACGTACAACTGTGTAGAGAATAAACTCTAATGCCCCCCCTATGTAATAGGCAGAATATATGCAAAAATAAAGGCCAGCAAATTCATGTTGAGAAGGTTTTCCATAAGATCTGAAATTCTGACCAGTCAATTCCCTCCTAAAATATGACTATTGATAGCTAACATTCA